GAAAACTATAATGACACGGTATTAATTGTACAAACCTCAACAGTATTAGAATGTTGGAAAAAATAAAATTGACTATAAATTAACTACACATGGTGGTTCAAGAAATGTGAGAAAAAACAATTATCTAGTGGCCATTTTTATGATGAAAAGGGGAAGAAAATATGCATATACCTCTGACTATCAGAATTTTCAGGAGGGAATTTGTGGAATTAATGTAAACTGAGTACAATATGAAATATTTGTAGATGTTACTGGTTTTTTAGGAGGTAGTTGTGAAAGAAAGTTAATTTTTTAAGTATCATTTTGTTTGAACGATGACTTACAGAAGAGAGACAAAAAACTTTGATCTGCTGGTTTACTCACCAAATGGCTTCAGTGGCCAGGTGAGAGCTGATCTGGACCCAGGAGCTTCTTCCAGGTCTCCCATGTAGGTGCAGGGTCCCAAGGACTTGGGCCATCCTCCCCTGCCTTCCCGGGCCGTAAGCAGGGAGCTGGATGGGACATGCAGCTGAGGCACAAACCACCCAACACACTCATATGGATGCCATTTACTTGCAGTGGGAAGATTAACCTGTTGAGCCAATGTGCCAGCAACCTCTCTCATCCGCCCCACCCCACTCCACCAGAAAAAAATCTGGTGTTTAATTTGCTTATGCTTCATTAATCTTGAAGCACAGTGTGTAGGCTTTCTGGTAAGAATTGACACAGCAGAACAGATTCAGGTGTGCTAATTATGAGCAAGCAATGAAAATCCAAGTCACTATGAAATGACAAAAATCAGTAAACAATGGCTCTGTCATTTGCTCTTTGGATGTTAAGAATACCACTTGAACTAATAAGTCCTATAAAATAGTCCATGATGAAAGAGAAAATTTTCCCTTACTTGAACCAGACTTTTTTTTTTAACATTAAAAAGTTACTTCAAAAAAGTGAGAATGGAGTTCAGGGTCCTTGCATAGTGAGCTTCTAAACCTATAATTCCAGATTTATAGTAATGTTTAGGAAGGGAGAGGAAGGAATATTATTCAGTTGGAAATAATGAAATACTGCTATGGGATCAAAATGGATGAAACTGGAGATGATTGTTACATGAAATAAGTGAGGTGTAGAGGGACAAATAAGACATGTTCCTCATGTGGAAGTTACAAAGAAATAGTTGATCTGAACTTACCATGGTGATTATTAGAGCCGGTAAAGGTGAGGTGAGAGGATGGGGAAAGAATGCATTATTGGGTACCAAAATGCAGTTGGAGGTAAATGGTTCTGGTGTTCTGAGGCATAGTGGACTGACTACACAAGTTCGGGTTTTATGTGCTGCCTGAAAGTACTGAGACAGAGCTGGAAAACACCAGATAAATACGTGGAATTGAATGGCTAATTGCCTATTATGGTTGATGTACACGTCTGCACCCAATAAGGTGTGGTCCCTGGCTGTTGTGCCTATCTGGGGAGTGAACCTGCAGATGGAGGATCCATCTCTGCTCGTCTCTCTGTATAACTGTTTGAAATAAATATTAAAGATATTAGGAAACTTTAAAAATGTTTTGTAATGTTATTACTATGGTAATAGACTTGTGAGCATATGACTGAAAGAACTGCAGGAGACAGATGACTTAAGATAGTAAAATAATTGTGAAATAAAACTAGGTTAGTAAAAATTGAAAATAGTTTTAAGAATTGTAAGTTTAACTGGAATCTTATACTTGTAGGTCACATTTCTAAGTAGACTAATGGACTGGTTTGAAATTACAGGCTTATTTAAACTAAGAAGCTATTGTGTTGTTCAGGCAAGCTGAACATTTAGTATTAATAGCTAAATTATCACAACACAGATATTAAATATAGATATTCGATACAGTCTTTAACAAGTAACTGTCAGAAGAGCAAGGAGAATTCAACAGTCATATGATCTCGAGGACTTTGGATCATAGTACCATTGTGACTGCATAGATCATAAAGTGTTAGAGGGCGAGAGTCAGGTGTTTGCTGTTGGTTGGGATGCCTCCATTGCATTCTCAGGGCCTGTTTTGAGTCCCAGCTCATACAAGCTGTGCAAGGCAGCAGGAGAGACCCTGGTGAAGCTCACGGCTCTTGGTTTTTGCCTGGCCCAGCACCAGCTTTTAAAGGTGTTTGAAGAATGAACCAGGGGATACATGTGTGTGTCTGCTTTTCAAATAAAGTAAATTTTTTTAAATGAGCTAACAAATACCTTACTTAATGATGAAGGCTTAAGGAAGTAAAGTAAAATAAAATTCAATGAGCAGAATGCTGTGGTTTATTTTTACCCTTTAAAAAGGGGGAAAAGATGCTAGCAGTAAATACGTTATTTTAAAACTGGAAATGCTATAAACAATTGAGAAAATTGTGATGGTGTAAGTCTTCACACTGTGTGTAAAACCCCAGTTAAAGAAGTGGGTGCTGTGGCCACGCTATGCTTGTTCAATGTGAGCATTTCTGCTTTGATTTGTTCTACATGTTGGGCTTCGAGCAAGCATCCCATTACTAAAGTGTTTAAAAAACCGTAGCAAATCAGTTTGCCTCAAACAATAAAGTTAAAAATACAATTGAGGCTTATACTGTGGTTTACTGGGTTAAGCCTCCAGCTGCAACACTGGTACCAGTTTGAGTTTCAGCTGCTCCACTTCTGATCCAGCTCCATGCTAATGTACCTGGAAAAGCAGTGAAAGATGGGCCAAGTGCTTAGACCCCTGCAGCATCTGTGGGAGATCTGGAGGAAGTGCCTGGCCTTAACCTGGTTCATTGTTGGTCATTGTGGACATCTGGGGGAGTGAACCAAGAGATGGAGGACCGTCCTGCCCTTCCTTTTCCCTCTGTGTCTCTAACTCTGCCTTTCACATAAATAAGTCTTTAAAAAAAATGCAATTAGTGGGAAAGAATTTTAATTTGGAGAGACCTTAATGATAAAGTGAATAAGTGTCTCACACCATATAATAAAGATTATTTTTATTTTAATCTGCTTAATCGCCATGCAAAGTTTTTTCTGTCAATGACTTGCAATTCGTTGTTGGAAATATCAAGATCCCCTTGCTTGTGTTTTTCCCTTATTGAAACCCTGCTCATTTATCAACCACTTGAAGCTTGTTTTTTTCTTTACATTTTCTACTAGGTTGTGTATTTCCTTCCTGCAACATTGTGGCTTCTACATTGCCACTAGTTGGTTAACTGTGTACCTGTGTCTTATTTTTAGACCTTTATCTATTTGAAAGGCAGAGTTGACAGTGAGATGGGGAGAGGCAGAAAAAAACCGGCTGCAACAGTGAGGGCTAGAGCAGATCAGAGCATGAGTTTCATCTTGGCCTCTGATATGGCTGGTAGTCTCCAAGCCCTTGGTCATCTGTGGCTTTCCCAGGTACAGCAGCAGACAGCTGCATTGGAAGTTGAGCACCTGGGATTTCAACTGACACATGGGATGCCTGAGTGGCAGGCAGTGGGTTAATTTGCTCAACCACAACACAACCCTCATCTATTTTATTGACCATTTCAAAGACATCGCTCTTGATTTCATTTTCTTCCTGTTTTTGGTTTTAAATGTCACTGATTTCCATTAGTTTCTTTTTGATTTTCCTTTCAGACCCTGTGGCACAACACAAATTTAGATATGTTTTTGTTGTCTTATGAATTACATCTATGTACATTGAAAATCCCGTTATTCCACAGTATACTCTTTGATCGTGGATTTATAGAACTGAACAAGACAATTACATAATGTGTTTTACATTTGCTCTGATACTTATCATATTTTCCTTTATCCTTGAGAGTTCACATTTCCTTGCATAATTTTTTTCACCCCTTGATATCTTCTTTTGGCATTTGGCCTTCTTTCTGAAGGGCATTTTTGCTGTAAGTTGAAAAAAATTTTTTTTAATTTTCACTTCACTTTTCCTAGTTTCTGATGAGAAATTGGCAGTTGTTTGAGTCATTTCTTTCCTGTAGATACTCTCTTGTGTCACACTGGTTCCTTCTAAGGGTTTTCTTTGCTTTTTAGATTTTAGCAGTTTGATTACACTATGCTGTGTCTAGGTATTGATTTCCTTGAGTATTTTCTGTTGGGAATCCTCTGAAATTGGAGCTATGGGTTTATATATATCTAAAACTTTGACTTTTTCGCCATTTCATCGTAGTTTTAAAACAATATTTGTTTACTTGATAGGCAGAGTGATGATATTAAAAGAAAGAGGAGCCTGTGGAGTTGTGTTTTCCATGTTATATCTCTGTTTTTCAGCTTAGACTACTTCATTGTGTCATCTTCACAGTGATGTTGAGCCCACGTGGGATTTGAAGAGTGTTTCTGGTTCTATATTTTTTGGCTCTCAGAAATGGCATTTGGATCTTTGCATTTTGTAAATGTTGCTTCGGTCTGTAACGTGTCCTCTGATTGTATGTGAGTGTACAAAATGTCATGATGCCCTCTTTGTTTTATATTTTCTTGTTTTTTTTCATGATCATAATGAACCATGCAAGAAAGTTGTTCTTATTTATACAGATGCAGAAACAAACTTTTGCACGGACCTTTTACATCATGGTCAAGTGGGTGTTTTCAAAGATAATTTTGCAAATTGTTTCACCTTAAAGCAGGACGTTATCCATTCTGACCCTGCAGCCAGGAATTCCTCGGTTGACAGCACATATTAATCAGTAATACATTTCTACTACATTTATCAGTCTACAACTTGTCAAGAGAAAATATATCAGAGAAGGAAAAACATAAAGAGCAGAAACAAGAAAACTTTGGGAGGGAATCCCAGTCTATACAAAATTGTACCACAAAGTTAAAAAAAAAATCAAAACAAAATAACAGCAGCAACAGAGAGAGAACAGCTCCCCTGTTTGCAAGGCTGCAAGGAGTTTGCAGCTGTATGGCAAAGCCTGGTGGATGTCTCTCCAACCACCTCAACACCCCTTTTTTGCATGGACACCCGACCATCCTGTTGAACTCTGTAATCTTACTAAGGCATTGTTATTTGCTCTTCTACTAAGGCATTGTTATTTGCTCTTCTGAGATGGTTTTTACAACCAATGTGAGCTTGGGAGTTAATATTGCTGATAATGTCTTGGTGTACCAGCCTTTAAAGATGTATGCTGTCTTGGCCACCCCCATAACCCTATGGCTGCAAGAGCTTAAATATTTTATAATAGGATAGGATGTACAATGGCTTTGTGTGTTCTTATTTGATCTCCATTATTTTCTCTAAAATGTTTTTGCATATTTTTACCTGAGTTCATTTCTTGTTACATTGTTATGTTTTTGAGTATTTTGATTTCTTTTTTTTTTTAACCAGGTATATGGTTTGAAACATGTTTTCCTAGATTGTGATTTGTCTTTTTATTCTCTTAACACTCTGCCTCCCTCCTTTTGTGTCTTTACTTTTCAAAAAAGAAAAGTTTTCCTATCCATGAACATTGAATATCTCTACATATTGAGGTCTTTAATTTTGTTGACCTTTGATAAGGTTTTTTTTTTCATATTTGTGCATATCTCATAATATTTGTAAGTATTTCCATTTAGATGTTAACACTATATTTTAAATTCTGATCCCAACTGTTTATTGTTTGTAAGAAAAAATACACTTGAATATTAAACTTGTGTTCTGCAACTATGCAAAAATAAATTATGAAATCAGGAAGATTCTTCAATTCTTGGGGTTTTGCAATGTAGAAATGTTTATCTACAAAGCAACAGTTTCGTTTCTTCTTCTGCAATCTGCATCTTTTCTTGCATTTATCATTTAAGACTTTGTTATGATGGTAGGAAGTGACATCCTTGATTCGATTCTTAGTTACATGCATCAAATTTCCAGTAATTTGAATTTTTAACTGCAGTGTGTCTTTGATTTTGTTCTTCCTTGTAGATGTTTTATCAAGGTGAGGACGTTTTCTTTTACTAGTACTGGGGAGCGTTTTCTGCTTGCTTGCTGTATGCATGAAGCTGAAATGATTGATTTTGGGTCTTTCCTCCATTCTGACATATGTATTCAATGTATTGCTAAAATTTATGTGTTTAAATGCCCTATGAGCATCATATTTGCTTCACTCCACAAATTTGAAGAAGTTATGTATTCATCAGAAGCATTTCCAAGTTTTCTTGAAAGCTTTCCTTTATTCAGAAATGCATTCCTTAAACTCCAAATATTTTTTCTGATTTTCAGTTATTTTTATTTTATTGTGATCTGAAAATAAACTTTGTATGATTTCTGTTCTTTCATATATACTGAGTTTTAAATTTTGGTTTAGGAGGTTGTCTGTTGTGAATATATTCTGTGAGCTTTATCATATTCTGTTACTTGAAGCATTCAATAGAATATTCTCTGAATCTCATTTGAGTTCAATGGTTAATGGTGCTGCCAGCAAAACTGTGTTATGGATTAAATTAGTATTTGTTAGCATTCACAGATAGAAGTATGTTGAAGTTTCCAACTATTAATAGAGAGTAGATTTATCTTATATTTTTCCTTGATGTTGTCCTAGTTTTTGCTTCATTTATTTTAATGTATTTATGTTACTAGTCTGTACATACTAAGAGCTATTTGGGAGCCAAATTTTTAAGGAACCCTAATCAGTATTTGATGCCTTTTTTTTGGTCTCTACTTCCTTGGTTCTAAAGTCTAGCTTTTGGTTGGTTTGTGTGATATGACACTCTTTAACTCATCTATGTCAGAAAGTGGGTTTGTTGTAGACAGCAAATAATTCAGTCTAATTTTTCTTTTACTTTATTAGTCTTTTTATTGGTATAAGTCATTCACATTTAAGTGCTAGGTGATATATTTAGATCAATATCTATTATATTTGTAACTTTTCTGTTACGTTTATTCTGGTTAAATTTTCCCTTTTGCCTTCTCTGGTCTTTTGTTTAAAGATTTATTTATCTTTATTGGAAAAACAAGTTAGATTTATGAAGAGAAGGGGAGACAAGATCCTCATCTGCTGGTTTACTCCCTGAATAGCCACAATGGCTGGAGCTGTGCCAAAGCCAGGAACCAGGAGCCTCTTCAGGGTCTCCCACACTGGTGCAGGTTCCCAATGTTTTGAGCCATCCTCTACTGCCTTCCCTGGCCACAGACAGGGAGCTGGAATGGGAAGTGGAGCATCCAGATACAAACTGATGCCCACATGATATCTCAGCATGTGCAAGGTGAAGAGTTAGGCACCGACCCATCCTGCTGAGCCCAGCTTCTCCGCTTTTTAATTGAGTGGAAATGTCCACTTACCTTTAAGATCCTTCAAATAGTTGTTCTATTCTTATTTTTTTCCCCCTTTGGACAGAGAGGGAAAGTGAGCTCCCATTCTCTCATACACTCCTCAGATGACTGTAACAGGACTAGATCAGGCTGCAAGCAGGTGCCAGGAATTCCATCCAAGTCTCCCATGTGAACAGGGACCCAAGAACTTGAACCATCACCTGTTCCTGTCCAGAGTGCCCAAGAGCAGGAAGCTAGATCTGGAAGCAAAATCAAGACTAGCTGTAGGCACTCTGATACGCCATCTAGGCATCCTGAGCTGCAACTTATCTACTCCATCAACCTTGCCCAGGTTTCATAGCTACCTTCCTCCAAGAAAGACTGAGTAATCCTGTCCTATCTGATCTCTTTTGGTTGACACTGATTTGATTCTTATATTTCCATTTGTAATTTTTGTTTTTAAAAATATATTTTAGTACATTGTGCACTTTTCCTTAGGAAAGTGTGATTCTTTTTTAGTTTGGTGATGATGTGCAATAGGGTAGCGTATCTTTTCAGATCCTCTTCTTGATTTGTGGGTTTAACTCCCTTTTCTATTTGAACAGTTGTGCCACAGAAAACTGCTTACTTATCACTGTATTTTTTTAAAAAGTATGTGTAAAAAGCTTTTTTTTAAAAAGCACTTTTTTTTTCCTCTTATCCTCTGGTTCACTACCCAGTGCCAAACCTAGTCAGAGCCAGAACCACCTTTAGTTCTTCAACATGAGTGCAGGGGCCCAAGGTCTGTGGCCATCTTTCACTGCTTCTCCCAGGCCATTGTTAGCAGAGAGTTGTATTGAAAGTGGAGTGCCTGGGACACAAACCAGTGCCCTTATGGGATGCTGGGGTTGCAGGCGGTGGCTTTTCTCAGTGTTCCACAGTGCTGTTTTGTAGTTCTTTAGTTTTGTAAATTTTAACATTTGTAAAAGAACTGAAAGAATTCCTGTATTCACTTCCTCAAATGCTAGGAGCTTACAAAACCATCGTGCATTGCACAATTGTCAATACTAGGAAACTAACATTGATACAATACTATTAACTTACTTCTACGCCTAATTAAAAATTTTGCCTATTGTCCTACTAATTGTTATTTTTTTGTTCAAAATCCAGATGACACAATATAGTTACATATCTTACATCGCTTTTTTCCTTTGATTTATTGTTGGAAGTTGTAACAAAACCTTCTCTTTCCCTTTGGGAGGAAAGAAAGAGAAAGGGGAGATGGGATCTTCCATCTGCCTGTTTGCTCCCTACATGCCCACAACATTCAGAACGGGGACTGGTTTGACCCCAGGAGTTAGACACTTCCTTCATGTCTGCTGAGTGGTTAGTAGGGACCAAGTACGCGGCCAATGTGAACTGCCTCCCAGGGTGTGCATTGGCAGGAACCTGCATTGGAAGCAAAGGCAGGCCTTGATCACAAGCCTTTCTGTGGAATGTGGCTCATCCCAAGCAAAGGTTTAATAAACCCATTTCATGATAATGCCCATTACTGGGATATTGTCTATTAAAATGATTGCTTCAAATATCTTTGAGCAGAGTTTGAATCCAGAGTGTAATTACATTGGTACTTCAAAAATTCATTCAAAAGATAAGTTTATTTTGGGGGTGTCTCCCTCTTCTTTCAAGAGGTACCCCATCTTACAAGGTGCTTTCCCCTTCCGTCTTCTTTATCTACTCACCTGGTCACATTGCAAATAAAACTTCTCTGCCTGAAAAAAAGAATTATCTTGTGTCTGAAGATTCTAAAGTCCCTGTGCAGTTGTTTTTTCACAGGACCATGCACAGTTTTTTCATTTGTTGTGATCTTAAGCTCCCTCCTATTTTTTAGGGTCAGAAACACCTTCTCAGTTCATTAATTCATATGCCCACACAAGTTGTTGGATTCTTAATTTATTGAATTGGTTCTAGGTGTTACTGGATATTTGAAATTGCTCATATGGTCGTTCTGTTTTCTTCCTTCCTTCAGGGATTGTCTTAGTTTGCCATGGTGACTGTACAATCTTACTGCTGCAATCTTACTGCAGTTTCTTCCAGCATGCTATTTTCTCTTGATATTCTTATGTATATTTTTTGTATAGTTAGATGAAGATGGACTAATAGGTCATTGTGATTTTCATTTACATCTTGCTAATGGTTAATGAAATGGAATGTTTTTTATATATTGATTATATGAGAAATATCCAATGAGTGAATACTTGACCCATTTAAAATGGGTACATACAATGGGTACATACTTCCCGTGGGTTACTGTTCGGTACTGTCTTTGTTTTAGTGTTTATGCTTCTACTCTTACATTTACTCTGTCCCAGCCCTGTAATTAGTTATTTCTCCAAGCAGTTCTTGTTCATTTCTTTGGAAATGGTTTTTAGGAACTACAGGATGGGTGCTCAGTGTACTCACTTCTATTGAGAGATGATTCCTTTAGGCCTTCTCAGCTTTGTGTTTTTGCTTCTATTACTTCTGTTTTTGCTTCTGTTTGTGTCTTTGGTTTTGTACATTAAGCCGAACACTCAGCTTATTCGTTTTACAGTTTTCTTAAAAAACATTTAATGCTATAAAGTTTGCTTTCTTTTTAAAATTTATTATTATTTTTCATAGTACAGTTTTGTAGGTATAGGGATTCTTCCCTTCACTCCCACATTGTCCTTCCTCTTCTCCCCTCTGGCCATTTTCTGTTACATAATTACAGTAGTGCAGTCCTTCTGTTACACACAAGTTCAACTTCCTGCTGTTTGTTTATGGAGTTGTAGGTGTAAGCCGGAGTAGAACATGTAGTATCATGCTGCCAAGGTGTCTTTACCAGTTTCACTGGGAGTCCTCCTTTTATTAAGGAGTGCAGATGCATGCTATGACATATCTTCACTTCCTGCTATAATGTTATAAATTTCTAAGTATTGCTTTTGTTCATTTATTTATACAACAAAATATTTAATCCATTTCTACCAGACCCTATTCTAGGGACTTGGAACATAGCTGAATAAAGTCAAAGATTTTTTTTGTCCGTGAAGTTTATATTCCCATACAGGAGGGAAATGAGCAATAGATATGCATTTCAGTTGCATCCTAATCGTTTTGCTATATTTTTACTGTTGAATTCTATATTTCTTAAATGTCTGTTTAGCTGAGAGAAACACATGGTAGTGGTGACGGGAGACAGGGGCATTCATGATGGTGGGAGGAGCCGGTAGGAAGAGAACATCCGAAATGTTCACTCCACAGATTCTTTGAGTGGCCAGGGACGGGCTTGGCATTCCTGCAGTAGAAATGCCATTGAGGCTTTCCATGTAGTGGCAGAAGCAACGACTTGGGTTCAGGAGACACAGCCAGGGACCAAAACCTAGTTCTATAATGTATTGACTCCCTAGCCACTAGGCTAAATGCAATTCTTTGGTTCCTGTAGATTTTAATGACTCTTGTAACTTTTTTTTCCACAAGAAACTATTTCTTGCGATTAGTAAATATGGCCTTGGCCTTGTTAGTAGTAGTAAGTCATTGATGTTTCTTGAGACTTGCTTCTTGAGTAAAAACATTAGTAGTTTAAAAAGAATATTTTGTATTGATTAGAAGAGAATTTATACATCTGATTTAAGGGTTTCTAAAAAGAGAAAAACTCATTTTCATTGCTTCAGCATTTTTATCTACTTGCCTATACATTCTGACTTTGCACAAAAATCCTCTATTTTATTTGTATAATTTTTATTTACGTTGTTTGAAGCTACCTTATTTGCTCATGAAAAACATCCATCTTTAATTGGTTTTATAGTTAAGCTGATCTTAGATTTAGGCCGTGAAATACAATGTGACTTGGAAGTTTAGAGAGATTTGTAGCTGTCAAATGAAAGTGCGGGAGCAATTGCAGATGTGAGTCCACACAGAACTGTACTCACAAGAGATTCAATTATCAAATGGTAGGAACTTCTTTCTGTACTTTTCAGCTTACATTCTGCTGAGCTTAAAATTAAAGATATGAGGTCAACACCATGGTGCAGTGGTTTACGTTGCTGCTTTTGAGGCCAACATCTAGTATCTGAATGCCACTTTGAGTTAGTTGATCTGCTTCTGACACAGCTCCCAGCTAGTGCACCTGGGGCAGAAGCAGAGGCTGGACCAAGTGCGTGGGTCCCTGCCGCTGCGTGGGAAACCCGGGTGGAGTCCTGAGCACCTGGGTTCGTTGCTGACTAGCCTCGGCTGTTGCCGTTTGGGAAGGGGCTCTGTGGAAAAAGCTGCCTTTCATTCATTCTTTCTCTCTCTCGCTCTGCCTTTCAAATAAATCTTTTTAAAAACATTAAAACTCTGTTGCTTTGTCATGCGGTTCTAGAGGATAGACAGGAAGTTTTGCTACCATTGTCTCGGAAACAAAGAGACTTCCTTGCTGAGTGCTGTTCTAGGTGGAACGGGCGTGCAGCAGGGCTGTTTCTCCCCAGCCTTGGCACCATACCAATAAGGTAGCTTGTCCAGATGTGGGCAGGTTTTCCACGTCACTTCGTTTTCCACGTCCGATTAGATTCCAAACCATGTGTATCTATCCATCTGAATAATCCAGTGCTTCAGCACCTTCTCTGGGAGTACTGCATGGTTAGGAGAAGATGAAGGAATTTTGTTGATGAATATGTAAAAAGACTTAATAAATATAACTCAGGTTTTTTGTTACTGTAAAGAATTTGGGGTTCACAATTTATATCTAAATCGGCTATCTTGAAGTACAGCTTTCTTTATTAACGGTATTGCTGACATTAAAAACTTAGCCTGGTGAAGAAAATTATGAGGTGACTCAATGTAACATGTAATTTATTTGCTCTAATACATTTATATTGTTTCACAGTTGGGAATGAGTAAAAACCAAATGATAGATTTAGAGAAGAAAAAAGCATTGATAGTACTAAGATGATGACCTAGCTTTTTAATAAATATGTAGGCCGAAACTGTGGCCAAAATTTTTGCTTTCGGTCTTGTGTACATACCAGTTTTCAGTTGCGTTCCAACTGGTGAGATTTTTTTTTTCCTCTTTAAGACACCATCCTACTACCACTTAGCATGTCCAGCTTGTGCTGGTGAAGGAGTGAGTAAATAAAAAACAAGTGTAGAACAAAATCCTAGACCTCTACAGTACAAATAAATATCTCAACTTCTGTTGTAACGATTTAGATAATGCAGAAGGTTTTTCTCCTAAGTTTTAGCACCCAGATCTTCCAAAGGTTAAATTTAACTATCTGAAATACAAATAGAATAAGCGAAGATCAGCTGAACTTCAGGTGAATTGAAATACATAATTTTTTTTTAAGATTTGTTTTTTTTATTACAAAGTCAGATATACAGAGAGGAGAAGAGAGAGAGAGGAAGATCTTCCATCCGATGATTCATTCCCTAAGTGAGCACAATAGCCAGTACTGAGCCGATCCAAAGCCAGGATCCAGGAGCCTCTTCTGGGTCTCCCACATGGGTGCAGGGTTCCAAAGCTTTGGGCCGTCCTCGACTGCTTTCCCAGGCCACAAGCTGGGAGCTGGATGGGAAATGGGCTGCTGGGATTGGAACTGGCGCCCTTATGGGATCCCAGTGTGTTCAAGGCGAGGACTTGAGCTGCTAGGCCACGCTGCCGAGCCCGAAATGCGTATTTTTAAACATTAGAATACTTTACTGTTGGTTTCAGAAAGTGATTATTTAAAATATATTCCGATTTTATCCTGGCATATTCTAAATTTCTAAGTAATCTGTTTTAAACTTTTTACTAAATATGAATCAATTTTCATTTCTGTATTTTAGATTCCAATTTAGCAAAATTAAATCAATACCTTTTACTATGTAACACTCATTGACTTTAATGCTATATACCTAGAAAATGTTTTTCCCTTGCATTTTGGAACCATGTGATTACTGTGGTTGGTTTGACAACTCAGGTATGTGTATGGTTGTGGGTAAGAAGCTGGTTGTGATATCAGTAAGATTGAGTGACCAAGTTAGCTTCTCAAACTTCAGCTGTGGCTGTTTATAATGGAGATAATCCTGCTCTGAGAGGTCATTGAGAGGACATAAACCTCAGATTTTAAATGCTTAGCACAGTGTCTTTACGGTGCAGGTATTTGGTAATTGAGAGTAACTATTGTTTTTCCAATTGTGTGGTTTTTTTTTTTCGTTTGCAGCCTTTCCTGCAAATCAGCCAGACAGGGATGCAAGACATGTAATAAAAGTGGTAGGTATTGCTCTTGAATTTGATTTGTGTACGTACTTTTCAGTTTTGCTTGATTTTAATTTTGTCAGATGTTTCTCACCTCAGTTTTGTAAGAATCAGTGTTGTTCTGTATTGCTGCCTGTCATTCCAACACTTACATCTTGACCCTGCATCTTGACCTCAGTGATAAAATTCTTAAAAACAAATAGGATTTCGTTTCTGCATCTTGTGTAATAAGCAGTGGGGGTGTCCTGTGTGAACATGGCACCAGGGTACGTGGCTGCATCCTTCTAGATACATCAACGCAGTGTCCATGCAGGTTTTTGTGTGCAATTCTCAGTATTTTCCTGTAAAGTACTGTAAAGGTACAACAGTACAATATTGTTTAAAAATGACATTTTTCAAGTTTTTTTTAATATTCTGAGATTTTTGGTAGAAATTGGATGCTTATGTCTTATAAAAGTGATTCAAGTTCTATTATATGACATGTATATTCATATTCTCATGGCTGAAATTCCAGTGTTGTCATTGATTTTTTTTTCCCAGTACAATTAATTGTTCTTTTCTTTTCAAAGGAATATCAAGAAAATGGCCCATTGTTTTCAGAACTGAAATTTTATCAGAGAGCTGCAAAAAAAGATTGTAGTAAGTAAAATTAGCAAAGCAAGGAAGAAATATATGTGCTTACTAAAGTGAGTGCTGATATTTTGGTCTTTTTCTGGCCTTCTGGAAAATTCAATAAATTTTTATTGTAAAGTGATGCAGTTAACTGATATATTGTACAAAAGCAAGACAGATGGTATACAAATCTTGATATGACATACATAATGGGATATATATTTTAAATCAAAGTTGTTTCTCCTATTTTACATAAAATGTAGAGTTACTAAGCATAAAATATAGAAGAATGAAACTTTTTCCTTTATAAAAAAAATTTGGATAGGAAGGATGCAAGGAAATGACATTAAAATGGGCAGTAGATACATAAACAAAAGCAATGATAGTAAAATGTATTGGAAAGATGTACGCAAATGAGTAAGCACTAACATTTAAAAAAGATGGAAAAGTTGAATACTGAGAAACAAGTTGGGTATCATGAAAGAATGAATTAGAGCATTTGAGTGTGAAATGAATGAATACAGGTGAGGAAAAATGAAAGCATTTTATAAATTCTGTATATGAATGAACTAAGCAAACTGAAGCAGTTGAGTAGGGCAATAGTGTCTTGCACGTCATGCTTAGGAAAAAAGAAAGGTAGGTTAGGCCTCAATAATTAACTTTGTTTTCCTTAATAAAGGTTTCTAAATATTAAGCTGTAGTCTTACTCACTGCTTAAGCTATGTCAGAGTGACAAATAGAATCCATTAAATTTGATTGCTTATCAGTAGAGCTGTCGCAAGCATTAAACATGTGAGAAAAGTAAAAACATGATCGAACTACTTACCGTTTCAACGAATTTGAGTTTTTTTTGTAAATTAAATTCAATCAAGCAATTTCTGTATTCTGTAATTTCAGAGTAAGAAAGTTTTCTGCACAATCACTTTTTTTTTTTTCTGTTCTTTGACCACTATGCCTTTGGATTTTGATGTACAGACAGTGGGCAGGAAAATGTCGAAAAAGCTGTCTCTCTTGTTTACTAGTTAGCATGTGCTGAACTCTGAAACTAAGCTAGAATATAAGGTGTTTTTTTTTTCTGTGAATAGAAGCATTAGACTATAAGATACTAAAGTATTTTATATTAATATGCCTTCTATTTTTGTCATTATGATTTTAAAGATTATGTGTACTTTTGTGTTCTAGTGATAGCAAATGGTATTTAAAACTATGGAGTACTGTGTATTTTTTAGCATGCCTCTTTTCTAGGAAGGTCAGATTACTCTTTGGATGAGCTGAGTGAATATTGGCATATTTGTTGGAGACTAGTCAGTTCCATCTTAGCAGGTTTCTGATCATAGCATCTGAAATGGAGAATTTGCTTGCTCCTGCAAAGGCAATAAGTATCTTTGTAAATCAAATGAATGTTTTGTTATCACATTTTCTTTGCAGTCAAAAAGTGGATAGAACGCAAACACCTTGATTATTTAGGAATTCCACTGTTTTATGGATCTGGTCTGACTGAATTCAATGGAAGAAGGTAAAATGGAATTATTACCATCAATCCTTGCCCTAAAACTATTCTTGTTGCTTAGTAATAGCTTAGCAAAAATATTTTGGCTGATAGCAACAGACTTAGAACATCTTAGTTGCTGTGGGTCAGGAATCTGCACTGGACTCTAACTCAGGATGTGTGCTGTGTGCCAGGGAGGTGCAGCCCTCTTGAGGCTTCCCCCGAGAGGATGTGTTCCCAAGGACCCGTGTGGCTTGTTGGTGGGCTTAGGCAGGTCGGCAGTGAAATGGACTCGTACGATTATTGGCAGGCCTTTACTTGCCAATCGTGTGGACCTTTGTAGAAGCCGGCCCAGTGTTAAAATGACAGAGAAAACAATTGAAAAAGAGAAAGAAAAAGCACACACAAGAGAATGAATCCAAGAGTGTCTCATTGCATTTGCTCCCTCCTCTTGGCTTGAAGTAAGACATTCGGTACCCCCTTCTGCTCAACAGAGGAAAGTTATAACCCATCTTTGGAGGAGAGGTTCAAGAAAGAATTTGTGGAAGTATCTTTAAAATCGCTAAATATGGCTAGTCTTCATATGTAAAGTTTTTGTTTTTGCTTTTGTTATTTTTTGCAGGGGGGTGATGGTGTAGGGAGATTACCATGAACATGATTTCCTTTTGTCCTTTGGCCTTTCAAGATGGGTAATATTTTCATTTCCTGAGAAAATAAGCTCAAGCACTCTGTGTTTGAAAGGCTTTAAATGCTATCAATAAAAGCAAAATGAGAAAATAATAATCTTGAAACAAAGTACAGGGCTTTCAGCTGGGGACTGAGTGGCAGCTGGTCTTGGATCTTCCATATTATTTGACAGGTAGTTCGTTAACGAAATCAGCACGATACCAGTCAGCTTGGAAAGTTTCAGTGAGATAGCCAAAGAAATTGCATATGATTGTACAGTAATAACTCCTAGATGAATGTGTTAGTGTGTGTTATACAGACATTGCATAGGGACTAATGGTGGGTATGTAGGTGAAGGCAGGACAAGGATTAGAGAATACCAAACAGGAAAGGAAGAATTGTTCCTGAAAATTAGATATGTTTATAAATACATAAAGAAAATAAATATTTTTAAAAGATTTACTTATTATAAAGGTAGATTTACAGAGAGAGAAAGAGAGACTGAAAAAGATCTTCCATCTGTTCACTCCCCAGATGTCTGCCAGGAGCTTCTTCTGGATCTCCCACACAGGTGCAGGAGCCCATGGCAGTGGGCTGTCTTTCACTGTTTTCCCAAGCCTTAAATAGGTTGCTGAAGCAGAAGTGGAGCTACTGAGACATGAATTGGTACCCATATGAGATGTTAGCACTACAGAGTCGAGGATTAACTAATTGAGCCATTGCACCAGTCTCATAAATATGATTTCAGAAAGCTAAGAAGCAAATAGGTTCAAATAAAAAGTTTTGTGTAGACAGTTGCCTATAGCCAGAATGCAAAAAGTAGTGGATCAAAATGAATGCAAGACTGCTTAAAAAGAACATTTCTTTCTTTTTTTTTTAAAGATTTATTTATTTTTATTACAAAGTCAGATATTCAGAGAGGAGGAGAGACAGATAGAAATATCTTCTGTCCGATGATTCATTCTCCAAGTGACCACAACAGGTGGTGCCGCACCAATCCGGAGCCAGGAGCCCAGATCCTCTTTGGGTCTCCCACGCGGGTGCAGGTCCTAAGGCTTTGGGCTATCCTGGACTGCTTTCCCAGGCCACAAGCTGGGAGCTGGATGGGAAGCAGGGCTGCTGGGATTAGAACTGGCACCCATATGGGATCCCAGAACAAGATGAGGACTTTAGCCGCTAGGCCACCATGCTGGGCCAAGAACATTTCTTTTTCATGATCTATGCTAGTGTGAATAGTTCAGTATACCTTTATCCTTTATTAGAGTACAAAGAGCAAAATAAGTACTGAATAGCATCTTTAAAAGAGGAATCAATGAGCTTTCCTGCTCTGATAGCTCAGATTGCTTCAGGCTTGGTGAAGTTGAGGACATTTTTCATATTATCAGACTCATTAACAACAGCAGTTTCAATCATTACTATCTCAGAGATCTCATTTTGATCTCTCTCTCTCTTAGTTATAGGTTTATGGTAATAGAAAGACTTGGAATGGATTTACAGAAGTTTTCAGATCAGAATGGTACTTTCAAAAAGTCAACTGTGCTACAACTAGGTATCCGAATGGTAAGAAAGAGGGACTTTTTTGCATACTCCATTTGGGATTAATTACTTGCTGTGGGATACATATTTTTACTCTTTGTGGAATGATTAGAGAATGAAGGATTGTTGCTCTTGAGATGTCAGTTATTGAAAGTAGAGGCTATTTTGGTGAAATTGATAACAGTGGGCTCTGTAAGTGACAGAATGTGCTGTGTTTGGCACTACAAACTCAATTAGGCATTGGTTCTACAGTCTGATTTGTTTTCTTCCCTTCACAGCTTTGTTTTACATATCAGAGCAGGCTCACATTGCTGTAAGAATAACCTCCCTTTTGTCAGTTATATTTATAATCAAATTATGGCAAAATACATTGTTTTCTACCCTAAGTTTTGTGATGGTATTGGGAAGGTGCCATAAAGTTTTATTATGAGTTTGGGATTGTGGCAACAATTAGTTGTGGTATTGAGTAAATATACATCTACTAAATATGAAGCAATGAAATCTTAACACCCTGGCACACATTGGTTTATGCTTCATATTTGTCTTGTTTGTGTTTGGTTCACGTATTCTCATTTTTTTTTCCAACTTAAGTAAAATTAAACAATTTCTGCCAGGTTAGAATGTGGCAAATAGAGCTCATTAATTTTCCCATTTATCCATCCACCTGCCAGTATGTGGTTATCAAGCATTAGGTGTGCATAGCATGCAGGGCTGTTAGGCTTTTCTAGTGAAGCTGAGAGTTCTCTATGAGGAAGAGAAAGAATGCCTTTTCCAGTGCTCATAGAAATGGTAATTTGTTCTGAAGTTTCCAAGACTTGGTTTTTAATTATTGGCTGGGTGAATTGCCGAGCGGGCTTCCTGACGCCTCACCACAGATCTAAGTTGATGCTGTGCTTTCCTCTTTGCACAGTGTGATTTTGCTGCTGGACTGTCAGAACTTTGTGGAGTCCTGGTTTCCTTCTGTCAAAGGTCTCATTAAAATGTTTAATATTTGAATATTATTTCATTCAGCTTTTTTTCCCCCAAGGATGAACTGCCACAAGATGTGATATTTTAGAGTAATTAATCAGTAACTGTGCAATATATAATGAGTATTTTAAAACCCATGTATTTACCATTCAAAACGCTAAAGTTGATCATGAGTTGTAAATCACATTGTGACCTTGTATATTTATTTATCTGTTCATTCATTTTCACAGTTGGATGTGCTGGAATACATTCATGAAAATGAGTATGTTCATGGTGATATAAAAGCAGCAAATCTACTTATGGGTTACAAAAATCCGCACTGGGTAAGTACAGTATATTAAGCTTTTGCTTTCTGTGAGGGTCTTCATAGTACCATATGGAGGCATTCAAAAAACTCCTAACAGAAGAATTTACAAATGAGGGTTTAACATGATGAATGTTGTAATTTATCTTACCTTGCTTATCTAATTTAATCCTTGCACTAAACTTAATGAGTAATTAGGTTGAGGAAGCTGAGAGTCAGAGGGGTTAAATATTATGTTAATGGGCACATAGTTAATAAGTGGCAGAGCAGAAATCAGCATTTCTCAGGAAATGCAGATAAAGAATCATCAAAATAAAGGGGGAGAAGAAATGGATTTATACAGGGGAACACAAAAAGGTATCCCCTCCGCTCCTCTTTTCCTACTTGTAATCAATTAAACTAAATGGACAAACATTTCCTTAGTACATTCTGTGTTGATGGGAATATTCTGTTTGACTACCCAATATGATAGCCAGTTACAACATGTGACTGTTAAGTGCTTGAATCATGCTAGTAGAATACCAGTGACCAGCAAAGATGTATAGCAGTGGGAACTCATTCATTGATTGCTGATGGGCATCCAAAATGATGTCATGTCATTGTAGGGTAGTATGGCAATGCATTAGAAAATAAAGAGATGTCAAACCATATGATCTGGTAACTGTTTCTTGATGTTTACCCAAATCAGGTGAAAACTTAATATCCATCCACCAAACCTAAACACAGATGCTCAAAATATTGGTATTCAATACTGTTACAACTTAGAAACAACTAAGATGCTAAAGGATAAATAAACTCTGGCACAGCAGGTAAAGTGGCCACCTGCAACACTGCCATCCCATGTGGGTGCTGGTTTGAGGCGCTGTTGCTCCACTTGTAATCCAACCCTCTGCTAATGTGCCTGGGAAAGCAGCAGAGGATGGCCCAACTGCTTGGGTCCCTGCAATATGTGGAAGACTCCAAAGAAGTCCAAACTCGTGGCTTTGACCTGGCCAGGTCCTTGTGGCTATTTGGGGAGTGAATCAGCAAAAGGAAGATTTTTCTCACTGTCTGTCTCTTCCTCTCTGTATAATTCTAGTGAATAACTACAGAAGCCAAACTTTTACAAATGCTTGAAAAAAATACAAACAGTAGCATATTACTCTGTGCAAAGACAATGAAATATCAAGCTATGAGAAGACACAAAGGACACAAATGCATACATGAAAGAGGTTGACCTGAAAATGCTATATATTATATGAGTGACTAAATGACATTCTAGAAACAGCATCACTGTGGACGCAGGAAAATGTCAGTAACTGAAGTCAGACGGAAGAATGACTAGCTAGAACACAGAATGTGGGTGGCGGGCAGTCAAGCTAATCTGACACTGTAATTGTTGGTACATGTCGCTGATGCATCTGTCCAGACCCATAGGATGCAGACCGAGGTCTGAGCTATAAAATATTGACTTGGAATGATAATGATGTATCAATGTAGGTTGCACCGTTATAACAAATGTACCACTCTGCTTCTCACCAGAGTTGAAAGAGATTGTGGCTGTGTGAAGACGAAGGTTTATGGGAACTCATTTTCTACTTTGTACTTGGTTTTGCTTAAATTGGTCTTCATTTTTTTTTTTTAGCGACGTTTAGCTGGAGTGTAAGCAATAAGGTTTATTTTTAAAATGTGGCTAATATGAGCAAATTCCAAAATTTTAAATGTAGCTTAGTTTTCATTAAACTTGAAAAACTACACGTACTGGTGCCACTTTAACAGCATTGGCTTGAGGAGTTAAAAAATGAAGTCTATGTAGCAATCAGAAAATTACAGGTGAATATTTAATATTTAACTGAATATTTAACTGATCTCTGCATGGGCAGAGAGATTTCTTTGTTTGGATTCACAATTATAGAGACAGAAAGAGTGAGAAGAGAAATCTTCTGTCTGCTGGTTTATTCTCCAGACGGCTGCAACAGCCAGAGCTGTGCCAAGTCTTCCAAGTCCCTGAGCAGTTGGGACATTCTTTGTAATTTCCTCAGGCATGTTAGTGGGCACTGGATTGGAAGTAAAGCAGCTGGAACTCAGACACTTATATGGGATACCATTGTTGAAAGTGGTGGCTTAACCCATTATGTCACAATATTGGTCCCTAAATACTTTTCTTCTGACTGTAATCAAAATGAACTAATAGAACAAAGAAGAAATACAACTGTTTGACAAGAAATCACCTTTGATAAAAATGAAAAAAAGATGGGTGTACAAAAACCAGAGCTGGGGTGGGTCTGGTGGGGGATATTGGATTCACCCCGACTAGGTTGTAGCACCTTCTGGTATGTGTGAGGACCAGGTCTATGGTGGAGGCTTGCTGTGTTGGACCATAGCACCCATTGGTTTGTTTGAGGTATAAGGTTAGGGTGGAACTCACCATGCAGCTGCTTCCTCTGGCATGTGCATTGGCTGGTGCAGGTGACAGACTGAACTTGACTGACTCTGCACCAGCTGACTCAAAAGAATCAAGTCTGAGGTCACTCCAGGGGAGATTTCTTGGGGAACTCCCCAGCTGGACCTCTGGACTCAGATCCTAGCCATGGAGAAAATAACAGAATATGTGGTCCCACCTTGGAGTGCATATGTTAGGATCAGGCCGCCTCCAGTTGGTGATACCTGTGAGATGGACAGCATATCAAATGTACCTGGGGGACATGATAGCCCCCACATCTAGTCCTGTAGGGACAATCAACTACCTCATCAGAATGGAAGGCAGAGCAGGTTGGACAGTTGTGGCCAGGCTTTGCAGCATGTTCCCAGGTCTGTGGATACACTAAGGTGGATTTGTTCTGCCAATAGACCTTGAGAAGATTTTCTTAACCCTGGAGCAATGAAACCAACAACTTTTCACAACTATCAAAACCACTTAAGTGACACCCTTGGAACATTCTTCCTCACATCAGATCTCTTAAGGTGTCATCAGCTGACTGTTCCTATCCTGGGTACCTATGTAGTTTGACAGCAAGGAGCGGTCCCATCCAAAGCATTTTTCCCATCTATCTTCTTGGTACCCGAACCTCCTCATCCTAATCGTAGGCTTCACATAAGTGTACTTCCCTCTCATCTATGTAAACAATGTTAAAAATAATTTAAAAACGAAGATTGGGATATCAGTGAGGTACCATTTATGTCAAATTAAACTGGAGAAGTCTGATAATGAGCTTGACTAGGCTTTGCATGCTTGGAGAGTGACAATGGGATCATAAATGTGAAGAAGAAAAAATTCATCCTTTTAAATACATAGCTTCATGGGTTTTGACATACGGATATCCTCTAACAGCAGACACTAACATGGGAGATAATTGTTCCTCGTCAGAAATTCTCTCACTCTTTTGCAATTAGTCCTCATGTCAGTCATTGACAGTAATTTCTGACAATAAGTTTACATTTTTCAGGACTATTACAGAAATGGAATTATAAGGCCTGACTCTTGTGTCTATCTTCTTAACATAAGACTATACATAGTTATCTTTCTAGTTTATCAGGTTTTATTGCCATGTAGTATTACATTGGCAACTATAACAATTTTATTTTGTCACCTGTTGGTGGATTTGAGATTGCTTTCTTTTTTGAGAGTTTCGAACAAAATTGTTTAGTTAAGCACTCGTGTATGTTTTTTTTTGGTGTGTGGGCATATGTTCTCTGGGTGAATTAGTAGGAATGGAATTTCTGGGTCTTACTGGCAGTATGTGCTTAGCCTAGAAATTGACATATAGCTTTCTGGAGTGATTGTATCATTATGCATTCACAAGAGCAGTATGTAATAATTTTATTCTACATATTCAGTTCAACAGTCTTTGATATTTTAGCTTGCATAGTATTCTACACTATTGTGTAGTGATGTAGTCATATCCAGTAGTTTAAATTTGCATCAGTCATCACAAATGAGCAAATCTCATTTACTGATTTGCTACATTTATATTTGGCGTGCCTGTTTTGAAATTGGGGTCTATTACTACTAAATTATAATGAGATTTAAATGTGGTACATATGCATGATGGAATACTACTTAACCATAAGAATGAAATCATCATGGATGCAACTAAGAAGTGGAGACCACTATGTTTAGTGAAATAAGTCAGACCTATAAAGACAAATATCATTTATTTTCTCTGGTTGTAAGTTATATATGGGATAAAAAGTGTGTATCGAGGTAAACTGACATCATGTGTCTTGATTGGTAGCTATGACCCTCACCTATCTGCCTGCAGAACTGTGGTCTATCTACTTTTTGCTTGTAGAGCTTGTTTGGAAGACAACTGAGCATGTGATTATAAAGTAAATTTAAAAATGTTACTGCAAAAAATAAAAAGTGGGAAGAAGGAAAGTTTCACTGCATCAGAATCATACTGTGAAACTGATGAAAGCTTATTAACAAATTAAAAAGCCTAATGAAAAAGGAAACAGAAACCTTATTCTCGGAGGGCTGGCTAAGTTGGGTAGCAGGTAAAGCCACTGCTGTGCCCTGGCTGCTCCACTTCTGATCCTGGGAAAAAGCAGAAGTTGGCTCAAGTGTTAGGGGCACTACCGTCCTTGTAGGAGACTTAATTTTTAAAATCTTACTTAGTTGATTGGGGGACAAAGGGTCAAGGGCTACAGGAAAGTGGGTAATACCATTGTTTCTACACTAATATTTTTTTCCCTGTATCTGGGGTCAAGGGAGAAACAAAGGGAAAAGCCCCACCAAGCCACCCACCCATCCCAGGTACCTGATGTGAGGCACACTCCCAGGGCCCTGCTTCAAGCAGTTTTGATAGTTCAACAGGTCTGAATTGCTGCCAATCTTGCCGTTCATTCGTGATGAAACATATTCAGAATCCAGTGGCTAACATAGTCTCTCTTTTTTTTAAAAAAAAAGATTTATTTTTATTGGAAAGGCAGATATACAGAGAGGAAGATCTTCCGTCCCATGATTCACTCCCCAAGTGAGCGCAACGGTCAATGCTATGCCAATCCGAAGCCAGGAGCCTCTTCCGGGTCTCCCACACG